CCCTGGACCCAGAATTCAAACCAATGACCACTAGCGATTCGGGTGTAAAAAGCCTTTTGTAAGATGATCTAGGAACTCAACTGTTATTTCATAACAAAGATCTTAGGGAAAAGCACATTCCACTGTAGCCTCACAAATAGATTTGCCGAGGTGACATGTCTGTTGGCTCCTACTGTATTAGAAAATTAATACAGAACCATATCATAAAACAAATGAGAAAAGGCTATTTAAAAAGGTAGACTGTACAAAAGTAGAAAAGAGATACTGCTAACTGAAATCACCCGTTTTCTATCTACATACAAAAAGAAGTATTCACTAGCTAAAAGATAGAAGGGGGAAAAGGCAATCTGGTTCATCGGATCAAAACAATTCATTTTCAAAGAAGTTAGCTGACCCTATAAAGGTGACATTTAAGCAGGATATTCCGCTGCAACAGAAAGCTTTCAAAAGGCCACCTTGCCTACTCAAGATAGTTTCTGAACCCCCACACCACAGTAGTATTCCTCCTGCTTTCTAATAACATCAGAAATATTAAAGCATTCACAAGAATTAAACCAACAGGAAATCCCCACTCAATGTATTATGCAAAGTACAGTGACAGACATCAGAATATTAAGAGTGAACTGCCATAAAAGCGATCATCTGTGAAAATATTCTTCCAAAAAAAGATAACTGCAACTGAAAGTAGTGGAAAATAGTTATAGTAACAATGTTGAAAGTAACCCCTATGTTGAATTTTCTGCCAGTTAATTAAACTGTGATTATTTTTCTTCTGTCCATTAAAAAAAAAAAAGTCTGATTTTCTAAGTGCCCAAATACATGTACTATTTCCCAAAGGCAAGTGGTAGTGAATGATTGTGCCACTTGCCAGTCACAAAAAGGCTCCAAACAGGCAGTTCTGATAGAAACCCTTCTCGGTGTAAGCTTTTTGTTAGAAGCAATTAAAATGAACCTTGGAAATGCATACTTAGCTAAGAACATACTGATAAAAGAAAGAAAATATATGTGTGCCTCATTTTAACAAAATTCGATTGTTGGAAAAGATAAACCAGAGTTCCTTAAAGCAGTTACATTCCAGTGTTGTTTCAACACTAACTACCTGGTAGACAGGTACAGAGAGGGGAAAAAAGTCACAATGTTACCTCTGAATTAAATAAGCTACCCTCCCCTACCCTCCCCCTACAAAGCTCCACCCTTCATTTTTAAGCGACTCCTATAGTGTGATTAACTCCAAAAATTTTTTTAAAAAGGAGGAAGGCGGGGGGAAACAGAGAAAGAGTGATGATATTTTAAGAGCTGCAAAACAGGACCTATAGAATAAAGTTAACAGTATAGAAGACAGTCACAAAGTAGCCTGAAAGTTTAAATCACAGAGTTAAACACTATACTAGTTCTGCTGCATCTACTCTGACCACCAATTAATTTCTCAATATAATTCAGGTGTTCATCCATCTTTCATAGTTGGAGTGCTGGCTACCTCAGAGATCCCAATTTTTCATAATAACTAGGCACAGAGATCAGAAACTACATTTCTACCTATTTCTGGAAGTGAAAAAAGACAAAGCTTCCTCTAAAGATCTCTTACTAACTTCACTCCCTCCTGCTTCTCTTGGGTGTTACTCAATTATCAGTTAGTCAGTTTCAGGGAGAAGCACAAATAGCACCCTTTTAATTTGGATTGATTGATCCACGGAGAATAATAATAAAAATAAAACCTTCTTAGAAATCCATTTTTTTTTTACACAGTGACACAAAGCGATATATCAGAGAAAAAACATCATAACAAAAAAACAGACTAATTTCAGAACTCATTTTATAATAAATTTTCTCAAGGATGTTGTTTTAGTTGTTCTGGGTCTATCTACAGAAAAAGTTACAGTCAGACACAAAACGGAGAGACTGAAATATTTAAACTGGAGAGGATTAAAGGTAAAACAGCCTTCAATATATAAAATATTCCTGTGCTGAAGAAAATGGGTTCTTCTGAGACACTATCAACACAGTCAACACTATCAATACATCCCTACAATTCAAGACACACACCAACGTAAGAGTGTGACCCGAATCGCGGTGGGAGCCACAGGGAAGTAGTTCATGGGAGTGGAGCAGCTAGGGTGCTACTGCCCCTGCCAGAATGTACACCAGGCTTCCGATCACCAGACACCTCTGCTCGTAAGCACGGATGCTTAAGACGTTAGAAGAGGCCAGATCATGTTAAACCAGGGAAATTAAATAGTCAACTCCCCACCTTCCCCACAAAATCCCAGTAAGATGACAGTAAAAGAAGATATTAAGCAAAAACTCAAAAGTCCAAGGAAAGGGGGGTGGCGTCGAGCTTCCCCTAAAAACACGGTCTGGTCAGAAGTCTTTTAAAAGGACCATTTAGACCCCTAGATGACACTTAACCTTTCTTTCGACTGCAGGTTTAGTCTCCACAGAAGCTGCACAGAAGAATCTGGTTCAAAAGCCCTTAAGGACAGCAGAGGACAGCAGTGAGGCACCAAACAGAAAACAGAGGGCTCAACAAAACCCTGAACTAAGCTACCCCTGACAGAAACTGAAAGTCCCTCAGCACCAAGTAAGAGGCCCAGCGGAAATGCTCCAGCCATTGGAATGGGGGGTGGGGGGATGCAGCCATTTCTAACACCTGCCTGCCTAGGGTCACCCCAGAGGAAACCACAGCAGACAAGCTCCACCCATAGTACACCAAGTCCCAATCAGCTTTTCAGAATCTCACTTGTATGTATGAATGAAATTTAAGGAGAGCTTCCATTAGAAAAGACAGAGTTTAAAACGGTGGGGGGGAGGAGAGAGGACCCCAAAATAATCCAGTAAGCGTAAGAAAAACTCACCAACAAAAATTATAAATAATATCTTGGGGAAAATAACAGAATATTGCCTCCATAAAACAAGATTAAAAAATTAAGGTAACAACTCTACGAAATAAAAAGTGCAATGAACTGGACCAAAAAGGGTAATAGTCCAAAATGTAGAATAATATCAGATGATCAAAAATTGGAAGAAAAAGGAGGAAAAACAAAGAATCAGTCTGCATTTCAATATGCAACTAAGAGTATATGAAAAAAGAACAAAGAGATTACACTGATTGGAAGCAATTATCCAAATACTGGTATCAGAAATGTTCTAGAACTGAGGAAAATGAAAAATGTCTAAATGGGTTGATAAACAGCCAACAACAGCGGGAGACACGAAGGACCGCATCATGGGGTCTAGGGGTCTAAAATGGTCCACAACAACAGCGGGAGACACGAAAACACATCATGAAATTTCAGAACACTGGCTATCCATTCACATTCTGAAAGGAAAGCCTCCCAAAAGATCTTTCTAAGGAGCAAAGCCACACACAGAAGAGATGAAGAATCAGAAGGGCATCAACCCTGCCGATGTCAACGGAAGCCAGAAGGCCACAGAGTAACCCCTTACAATTCTAAAGGAAGGTTGTAACTTAGGATATCTCCATGTAGTTTTGACAATAACCAAAACATTCTTAAATACACAAGATCTCAAAGTCACCTTCTGTGCACACTCCCTAAAGAAGCTACTACAGAACATGTCCCACAAAGCAGGGAAAAACCCAAGCAGAAGAGGGGATCTATGGAAGGAGAGAAGCGAAGGGATGTCTGGGGTAAAGGTAAAAGGACGCAGAGGCCACACAGCGGGATGACAGGGCTCCAGAGCGATGTCAACGTTCTGGGGCTGACGCAGGGCAAACTGGTACTGAGGAAGTCTTTTTGCATTTGTTAGCGCTGCTGAAGACTTGGGGAAGAATAAATGAAAATTAAGGATGTGGAAAAATAAAGCAGTGGTGAATTCCATACCAGAGAATGGGCAGGGATGGTGCTAGAAGAGGCCGAAGTTTCTTATCTACCGTAACAGGAAGTCAATGAACTGTTTTGTTTTTGTTTTTAAAGATTTATTTATTTGACACAGAGAGAGAGAGTGAGAAAGGGAACATAAGCAAGGGGAGTGGGAGAAGGAGAAACAGGCTTCCTGCCAAGCAGAGTGCCCGATTCGGGGCTCGATCCCAGGACACTGAGATCACAACCTGAGCCCAAGGCAGACACTTAATGACCCAGGCGCCCCAATGGACTGTTTCTAATAGCAGCATAGGCACTTGATCTAGAATACAGGGGCAGATTCCAGGAAAAATGGCCAGCCTCCTCTGGGGAGGGGGCACTGTGGAGTGGGGACTGCTGATTCTGTCACAAGCTTCACACACACGAGGGGACTCCCAAAGCAAAAAGAAACACCCACACCACTTTAACTGCTTGCTTCAAATCACAAAAGAAATCCACCTCATACATCACAGTTACATACTAGTGTTCAGTAACACACAGGTGTGTTCAATGGAACTTTCTTTGTCACCCATATTACTCTCTCTCTATAGTGTAAAACACTCACCACGGACCCACCTGATAGTACCCTACACCACAGATTTGTGGTGTGTGCTGATGATTCAGAAAAGAGTTAAAAATTCTAAAAAAAAGTTCTTCCAAAGTTTTAATAATGCATAATTACTAGAATTACCTCCACAAGGCTGGGGAATGTACCCTTTACTTGTATTTTGCCCTTGTGTATCTATACTAGTTAAACACTGCCAGAAGTTGACAAATACTTTATAAACACAGGGAGGCATTTACAAAAGTTTATTATACCTGTACATTTGGACCACTTATATTTAGGCATTTAAAGGATTCTCAAAGAATCAAGAGATCATTTGGTGTAAGCCATACAAAATTTAAGTTATGAAAAATTCTGACACAAAATAGGAAAAATTTAAAAACGATTTTAAAACTCTTATGACCTTGGGCAACTTTGTTTCCCTTTCATTAAAAAGAGAATTTCAAACCAAGTTTCTTGGCCTTAAGCCTAGTGATGCAAATAAACAATTTTCCTTTAATAAATGATGAGATGCACACATTATTTTTAAAACTATTTCCAAAGGTACTGGTGAAGACTAAGTATAAACAGATACTTACATTGACTAATCCAAAATAGTGCTCATTGACTGGAAACTGTTCTGGACCAATCTCTTTCTCTAATGCCGAGGCATTGGCGCCCTATAAAAAAACAAAAACAAAAACAAAAGCAGAAATCTTAGTATCTGTAGTATTTTCATTAAGTTTTCACAGTTATATAGGCACTACAGAGAAATCCTTTAAAAACTATGTTCCCTTTGACTCCCTAACATTACTGGAAAATAAAGGATGATAGTGAAGAGTAAAGGATTTTAATAATATGACTAAAAACTAGTTTGCAAGAACTTCTTCAGGAAACCAAAGCATGGATCAAGAAATTCTATTTGTAATGTGTTACTATTTTCTGGGTAATGGATTAAAGCCCCTGCTGTACCATGTGCTCTAACAGAAGAGCTGAAACCAAATATGCAGATATTTAATAACCTAACGATTCTTTGGAGCGATATACCTGAAAAACCCCAAACGACAAGAACGTTGTGTAAAATGGCACTGATGACTGTGCAACTGCCAACCATCCTACTACGTAGCAGAGTCAGAATCATGAACTAGATTTACATACAAAAGCATGACCATTTCTCAAAAAGATAACGTTAAAGAAAAAAATGAGATTAACACATGTATAAAAAATAGCAGATGGCAAATGGGCTGAAGAACATACATGAAACATACTTGAGTGGATGCTAAAAGAAGACTGGGACATGGCATTGAGGGTGAGGGATAAAAAAGGGGAAAAATAAAATGAAACGTAACAAAAAAAAGGGCCCTGCGCCCAGACAATAATTGAGTGTCACAGTCTCGGGAATATGACTGACTCAACTCTGTGCACTGGGGTCCCTGAAAGACGGGGGGCGGGGGGCGGGGTCGGGGGCAGGGTGTCCCTGTGTAGTGGCACATGCCACTAAACGGACTCCAAACATAGCTGGAAGGGAAACGACAGCAATGCTAAAAACCCAACTCTAGATATGGTTACTTGAAAACTCCCAAGAAAACATACCACCACCTACATAAAACTGATACGGTATGACTCAAAAAATACCTGAACACCACTTGGCAAAGTCACACACAAGACAACACACACGCTATGTCTCCTCCGAGGCGCTGACTCGAGGTTAACGTTACCTCTGTGCCCAGAAGCCCAGCCCTGTTGTTTCCTGACTGAGCTCCACTCCTGGACTTGGGAAGCCCAACCTCTGTTAGACGACACATCCTCAACTTCCTGATTCCAAGTACTGATTAAAGGGACCTGGTGGACTGGTGGTCATATTCTACCAAAACAAGACATTTCCTTTAATATCTTCCAGCCCTCCAGCACTTGTATATAAACATGACAGTGCCTTTTTTTTTTTTTTTAATTTAGGACTTATTTTAGGCTTTCTACAAAACCTTCATATAATCGCTAGTTTACAGATACCATTTATTTCTAATCTGGCCATCCACTGTTTTAGAACAACATCAAATTCAAATATTTCAGCAACTACAAGATCTACTGAACAAATCTATCTTGGTGTGAATGTTGGAAGCCACTCTCCCCATCCCCGCCAGCACAAGTTATCAGGTCATAAAATTTCCTCAAATATGTTGGAAAAAATCAGTAAGCCCAGATGTTTACCACCTACTCTAAGAACTAGTATTAGTTTATTCAAATAAGTATAACCCCTTCCCCACAAAACAGAAGGGCAGGGAAGAAGGCAGGGGAAGGAGGAGAAAAAAGAAGAAAGGTTCTATTACCCAAAATAGAACCTTATTACATCTTTTTATGTGGAACAGTAAAATGTCAGTACATGTAACTCAGGAAAGCATTTCTGGCCCTTAGGATGAACACCGTAACACATGAACATTGTCTCTCCAGTGTAATGCCAATCACACACCACAGACCGTGTATTCTAACCATGCCAGAGGATCCACTTATTCCCGCCCCTCCATCACAGATTTTCATGCCTGCTTAGAAAATCTTCCAGCTGTCCTGCATCCTCAAGGTAAGTCTCACTATGGATCAAGTTATTAGCTTCTCTGCACCTCGGTTTCCTTAACTACAAAAGGAAAATGTCACCAACTACTTCAGAGGATAGCTACAATGAAAGGAATTTAAACCTCTATAAAAGCATCCAGCAGTGTCCCGTAAATATTGGTTCCCTTCTTTGCCTTCCCTTCAAATTCAAGGGGGGAAAGAAAGCTACTCTCATTAGCCAGTAATGTTAATAAATATCTGCTCCATGAAACAGAGAAAAAAACAAGTCAGAAGAAAAATGAGATAGCTTTAAAAAAAATAATAGTAATAAGGTAGCTACCATTAAAAAAATGGATTTCCTCACTCAGGCCAATTCCACCAAGCAGCCCAGAGGTACAGTCACTGTACTCTCGAAAGGCTGACAATAAAGCAAAACCACAATCCAATCAGAGATCTGGGAAGAGGATGCTAAGTGTGATAAAATGGAAACAGCCATAAACCAGAGCCATTGAAACTTTCTGGATTTATGAAGCCTCATTTGCAAAATAAAAGGGTCCATCTCCTCACTGATTTTCAAAAACCCCAGCCCCCAGTTTATCTGTTGGGTATTCAAGTAATCCTTTACCCAAATTAAGGTTTTCACAGCTAAGCCTGTTTAGAAAATTAAGACTAGGTAATTTCCAACTCAACATTCTACCATTACCAATCACTTTTACCAACATTTCTGAGAACATTTACTATACCAACACAAAACTCCATGGAGGGCCAAGCCAACCAATAATACATGCCAAACAACACAGTTCAGAAGAGAAAGATCAGAGCGACAGATGGAATAAGGGGAGCAGATCCAAATGGAAAGTTCAAAGAGAGAATGGAATTTACTTTATGACAGTTCTAAAATTAAAGGACAGCATAGTTAACATATACCTTACCATGATAATGATGCTGTATAATGCAGATTCTGTGAATGTGCAGGATAGTCTTACGGCATGAACTCAAGATTTTCTCTGCAGAAACAATTAGAGTACATATCTCTACCTCTAGCTGAACGCTAACTACAAATGCAAAGAGGAGACTAAGTAATTCGGTTTCTGATGACTGGTTTTCAACACTAGAGTTTCGTATAGCTGGGGAGAAAGAGCCACCAAGCCAAAAGTTTTCTGTAGAATTTTTAGTATCTTCAGAAGAGTTCTCAACGTCATCCCTTGAGGATGTTGTCGAAGGCTGACAAACCCTAACGTGTCAAATAATGGTCAACCAGCAACCCCAAGGTTTAAACTGAACCTAGAACAAGTCAATATTCAATAATAATGGCTCTGAACAATTCTCCATCCTTACAACACTTGAGAAATATGATCTCACTACAATTAACAGTGGTTTATTGCATCAGTGATGCTTTCCCAGAATAAAGAAAGAAATGTTGGCATGCTCAGATTAGAATTTCTGCTCTAAAGCTTTCATAGGTATCAGGATTCTTCTTATTGTATGAGTACATGACACACAGAAAAGGAAGAAGACATTCTTTTCTGATTGTTGTCTCCATTTTTGTAACTTACACAAAAGATTACTTTAGAGTCAGTACCTATTACTACAGAATTCATCATAAAGAAGCAATGAGGTATTCATGACCCTCCTGATGAGAACAATGAGGTGGATGAATTTTAGTATTAAAAAATTAGTAATTTACTGAGCTGGTGAGAAAATGAGGAATCCACAGAAAACAAAAAACAAAATGATGGGAGAACGCTGGGAGACAGGCCAATGCCAAAGAGAGATTTTACAGTGAGGGTATGTGTCAACACTAGTGACCTTTATACTCTTTTCTGACAGCTGAATGAAAGAGAGTGCAGGGAAACCTAAAACTTGGAATGACAGGAAGGCCAACAAAAGACCTGAGCATGACACTAAGATTCTAAAAGGGCTGATCTTCATGTCAGGGGGAGCAAGAAATAATCCTGTACCATAAGAGGCAGCAAGGAAACATGCGTGACACGTGCTTGGCACTGGGGGTGGAGGATAGCTCCCAAAAATTCATAACCCCAAGTTGACCCTCATGAAAGACTGTAACACAAATCCACGCAAGCTGTATGATCTTAAACCAAACCACTCAAGCAGATAATGTAATTCAAAGAGACCCTGAGTTGATGGTGCCCTCTTCACCTGGCAACCAACAGAATTACAAGTTCACTCTGGGAGCTGAAGTTAATCCACCCCACAAAAAATTCCCACAAATAAAACTCCAAGAGATTTGAGTTCACGATCAAAACTCATACACAAAACAAGAAAATAAAGCGCTATGAATAAAAGCCAGCAGAAACACAGACAGCAGAATCAGACTCTCAAAATACTAAATACCAGAACTATTTCAGACAGGATACAAAACAAATGCTTAATATGTGCCAAGAAATAACAATTGCTTGATTATAAGAACAGAGATGAAACTCAAAGCTGATGCAGGTTTTTTTAAAAGAACTGAATCAAACTTCTAAATATAAAGGTTACAATAATTGAAACTAAAAACTCAATGGTAACTATAGAAGGCAATAAAAAAACTGGAAGCTGGGGAGAAGGACGGATGAACAGGCAGAGCACAGAGGATTTTTAGGGCACTGACAATATTCCATATAATACTGTAATAATGACTAGGTCATTATACGTTTGTTTAGACTGTTACCAAAAGTAAACAGTATCATAAACTTGGACTTTAGGTGATTACGATGTTTCAGTGCAGTTCATCAGTTATGTCAAAAAGTACCAGTCTGGCAGGGGACGCTGATAATGAGGGAGGCTATGCACACGTGGGGCAGAGCTTTATGGAAAATCCCTGTACTACCCCCCAAGAAGAGAAAATCTTAATAAGATAATTAATCGGAAAAGAGAAAAAACTCAATGGCTGGGCCTAAGAGTCCAGGTTAATAGTAATATTTTTTCTTTTTCTTAAATGGAGCCCGAAGTGGGGCTTGAACTCATGACCCTGAGATCAAGACTTAAGAGTTGGACACCTAACTGACTAAGCCACCCAGGCTCCCTGGGTAGTATTTTTTAGTCAATATTCCTGTCAATATAATGCTAGAAATTCACACTAACATTTTTGTTAAAAATAGGAAATGTTGTTTTACAGAAAATATTTCAT